GAAGAGCCATTCTGTGCTCCATGCTGTTGGCTGGGATCAAGCCTCGAAATAGAGGCTTTGACTTCCTGGGGCTTGAAAGATTACACACAACTAGCTCTTTCGGGTCCTCCTTTCCAAGATGACGAAAAAAAGAAGGAACAACGGTCGTGCCAAAAAGGGCCGCGGTCATGTGCAGCCTATTCGCTGCACGAACTGCGCCCAGTGCGTACCCAAGGATAAGGCTATTAAGAAGTTTGTCATTCGGAACATAGTGGAGGCCGCCACCATCAGGGACATTTCTGAAGCGAGTGTCTTCGACGGTCATGTGCTTCCCAAGCTGTATGTGAAGCTGCATTATTGTGTGAGTTGTGCCAGTCACAGCAAAGTGGTCAGAAATCGATCTCGTGAAGCCCGTTAGGACCGAACTCCTCCACCCCGATTTAGACCTGCTGGTGCTGCCCCTCGACCTCCACCAAAGCCCATGTAAGGGGAGCTGAGTCTTAATGGACTGAAGAAAACTCTTGAGAAAGAAATAATAAATTGGATGTTATACTTTATACAGCATGTTGAGTGTACCTGCCAGAGGTGGGTTGGGTTAATTCAGCCTATCCAAGTTTAAGTTTGTACTCGGAAAATGAATAAAGAGGAACACACTGGGAAAAAAAAAGATTACACACAACCAAAGCTTGGACCCCAAGACGTTAGGTGCTCTCAATCATGTAGCGTAAATTGCTCTTTATGCATTTCCTTCTCTCTGCATATTGCAGAGGCAAATATGCAGGCCTCCTCCCGAGCCCAATTGACTGCACTCACCTATTTCTTGCTATTCTGTCACTCATCCTCAAGCCACTCCCTTCCTTATGAATAAATAAAACCTTGGTTCAGCCTTGGGTTGAGGCCTTTGTTCCCAATAGCCATCATCATGGCTGGACTTAGGACCCCTTGGCTCCCTATAACTACAAATATGCCTTAGCATCTTTATTCTCACCATGGGTTGCACTGGGTGTCACAGATTGGGATTAACTTGATGGGGTTCTAATAATTTATATATGGCATTAGAAGTATAAACTTCCTGGACCCAGAGAAGGACCAGGAAAGGCTTTCTATAGTCACTAAATTGTCTAGGCTGGGCTTAAACTTTTGATTCTCTTCCTTCAATCTCCCAAGATCCTCGGATTACAACCAGACCTGACTGCCATGCCACTGTTACAAAAGGTTTGAACATTATATATTTTGACCTCTTCTAGGTCTGGGAACTCACCTCCTTAAGTGCTAAGAGCACACACATTGCTATGGATAGTATAAAAATCTGTTCTTATCAAAGATGACCCAAGGCATGCTGTGGCTTCGTAACTAGGGAGGTGCTCTCACACCAGCACCCTTGCCAGGGATGTTCACTGCGATGTTCTCTTGGATTCCAATAGCTGTACAATTTTACTATTGCTTAGTTCCTTTTTTTTTTTTTTTTTTTTTGGTCTTTTTGAAACAGGATCTCACTATGTAGTTCAGGTTGGCCGTGAGCTCACTTTGTAGCGCAGGCTGGTCTGGAACTCACAAAGCTCCTCCTGCCTCAGCCTCCTGAGTGCAGGCTTACAGTTGTGTGCTACCATACCTGGCACTATTAGCCTTTAATGTTACTTGAAATTTAATTTTAGAACAACTTGAGATCTGAAATCCATTTTCCCATTTCCTTTTCTATTTGGAAGTCCCAACACTATGTAACAAGGGAATAACACCAAATTTTGTTTAAAGGAGCATTATTGGGTGGAATAGCACAACAACATGCATTTTTTTGGGAAGGATTTCTGTCTCAGTTACTCTTCTCTCATTGCTAGGACAAATACCCGACACTCAAAATGAAGAAGGAAAGGTTTATTTCAGTCCATACTCAGCTGGCTCCAAGGCAGAGTGGCACATGGCAGACAGCAACCTTTCATGGCGGCAGCAAAGAGCAAGAGCCAATGGGAGACTAGTGGCAACAATGGCTACAGAGAGCAAGTCTGTCTCCCTTATGTTTCATTCAGGCTATCTGCCCCAGGCTGGCTGTAGTACCCACACCCATAATCCCAGCAGCACTCACACCCATAATCCCAGCAGCACTCACACCCATAATCCCAGCGGATCTTGAATTCATCACAAACTAGAAGTCGGGCCCATGACTGCATGAGGCTTTGGGGGGACAGCTAGACACAAACCATAACAACTTCTATTGATGAATTACTAACTTTAATTTTGAGTTTTATTATATCAAACACTGTGCATTTAACAGTAAAATATCAGTAAAATGAAATAGTAATTTTTTTTTTTTGCTTTAAACAATTTATTTAACTGAAATGAACTTAAGTTTGTTTCTGAAGTGACTTCCATTTATTTTGATACATCTTTTCCCCATGATGATTTACAGGATCTTCAAGCCAATATAAATACTTTATAAATATTTGAATTTTTGGGTATACACCTGCGCAATACCTCAGCAGTATCTTTCAGCAAGAAAATACTGAAGAGTAAAGGCTAGACACAATTCCTGGGTACAGTGAAAATCTGCTGCAAATATTTCTGAGGTAAGAAGGCACCGCATACCTGTTCAACTAAGAAAACCACCCTTACAACACAGGATGATTTTATTTTTACATAGGACCTAGAATACTTAAGCTGCCAATTAGGTGCTGAATGGCAGAGCAACGTCCCCAGTTTATGCCATGAATTCCTAGGGAATGGGTTCCAACAACTCGGGTTCCTTTCCATTGGTCCTCACAAAGTGTGCTTCTCTGGGAGGGGCAGGCTGGCATTTCAGCTGAACCCAGGTACCTTCTCTTTGGCTTCCTTCTTTTTCTGATCATTTTCCTTGACACGTTTCAGGAAGCTATCACGACTTTTTGAGTGTTTAATATGCTCGATACGCACATTAATCCTCTTGGCAAGTATCTTGCCCTTAACTTGCTTGTTTACAACAATGCCAACAGCATGCTGGGTAACGTTGTAGACTCTTCCCGTTTTGCCATGGTAACATTTGTGAGGCGTTCCCCTTTGCACAGTACCCATTCCCTTGATGTCTACAATATCACCCTTTTTGTAGATTCGCATGTATGTAGCCAAAGGAACAACCCCATGTTTTCTAAAAGGCCTGGAAAACATATACCGGGTTCCCCTCCTCTTGCCCTTTGTGTTAGTCATTTTGGCAAATTACTGGAAGATGGCGGTTCCGGCCGAAAGGAAAAGGGCTGAAATAGTAAATTTTAAATATGTAATGGTTGTTTAGACTATCATTTTAAATACCAACTGTTATTTTACAAAATCTAAAACTTAACAGTAGAAATAAATTCCTATGTAAACTACAAAGGAAATACAAGCAAAACTCTACCACAGGCATAATCTTTGCTTCAGTTATCACATTTAAGGCTGTCTTCACATGACAACAGTATGTTCCATACCCAAGTACGGCTTACACTGATAGCATGTGTTTTGTTTGCTCGTCTTTGTTGGTATGACATACTTGCCATCTTGCTCATCTTGCTTTCTTTCTAAGTCCTTGTGGCATTTCACCTTTCTGCTCACTGGTCTGCTGCAGAATTCTTTTGTGGAGTTCTTCAGGCCACATACTAAGAGTGTTTCAAAAGCAAAAAACAAAATCTTCTTGCCATTTCTATGGGATTGTGCAAGCCACAAGTGCTTCGAAACAGCTTTCTTTCTATTTTTTTTTGGGGGGGTTGGGGGGTGGTTCCAGGTATCAAACCCAGAACCTGTCTTGCCAAGCAGGTGCTGTGCTACTGAGATAAATGTCCAGCCTCTTCTCTCTCTTTGAGAGAAGGTTTCACTATGCAAACAAACAAACAAACAAAAACCAAAAAAAACCCCACATCTTCCTTCTCCATTCTTTAGTTGATGAGCATCTGGGTTGTTTCCAGGATTTAGCTATAACAAATTGCGCTGCTATAAGACAGGATAAATTTGAGTCTTTTGTCGATAAATGTATGCAACTAGAGAACATACTTTTTTTTTTTTTTTTCAGAACTGGGGATTGAACTCAGGCTCAGGCAAGCACTTATTCTACTGAGCTATCTCCCCAGCCCCTAGAGAACATACTTTTAAGTGAAATAAATCAGACTTGCATGTACAAACATTGCATTGTCTGCTTAGTGTGAGAACCTGAAAGAGAAAAATGGAATCCAAAGGGTAAAATAGACTGGTAAAAGGGAATGAATCTATTCAAAAGGAAAAAGTTACTAAGTTGAAGAGAAGATCAGGAGAGGGAGTGGGAGAAAGAGATGTATCTATGTATGTAAGCAGGATGGTTTGGACAACTGCACTGTGCATTTCTGCTGGTTTATGGAAAGAAGCAGTTAATGCTTTAATTCGTTTCACCTCCTTTTTTCAATTGTACTTTTTCTCTTCTGAATTTCTTACACATTTCTTTTTTTTCTTTCTTCTTCCAATTTTACATGCATGTATCTGGTAATATAAATAACTGGTTGGAAGGCAACACTACGTGTTACAACAACTACTGTGGAATTCCTATTACTTTGTTAAGTGAAAATCTGTATCACTTGTTTTTTTGAAATTTATATCACTCGTAATTTTTTGTTTTAATTCTAATTTGCACTCTCTTTAAAAAATAAAAGAAAATCAAACAAAAAAAAAAGTTCTCACTATGCAGTTCCGCCTCGTTGACGCCATAGCTAGAAAGTGGGGAGTCCCCGGGATGGGAGTGTAGCTCAGTTGTACAGGGTTTGATCAGCATGCGTGAGTCCCGGTCCCAATCCCCACCCTGCAAAAACCAAAAACAGCTACAGAGTCAGGGCGCGGGACCCCATCCTTTCCGGCTGCCACCCGTCGCTCCCGGGCCAGCCCCCGGCCCGCCCACCACCGGGTGTCAGGGGAAGGACCCACCCACCGCGCGGGCCCCACCCCCAGCGCTGGGGCGGGTCACAGGCCGGGCCCACCACCAGGCCCCGCCCACGCCCCTGGTCCGGCTCCCGCCTCAGTCAGCGCCCCGCCCCAGGCCCCGCCCCAGGCCCCGCCCCGCCCCCGGCGCCTTACTCTTGGGTCGCGAACCTCTGGGTTTAGCGGCTCCACGGGCCTTCTGCCTGTTGCTTGAGGTCTGGTAGTCGCGCCAGTCCCGGAGATCGCCAGTTCGAGAGTTCGCGTCCGTGCCGCACGCAGCTACGGTGCTCACCCGGGTCCCGTAGGCCCGACCCGTTGGGGGGGGGGCCCAGGCCCTCGTGGCGAATCTGCCGCGGCGAATCTGCGAGCGCGGCGCCAGTAGCCTCGCGAGAGGACGGACGCGGCGGGGCGGCCTGAAGACCGGGTGCGGGAGCCGGGCGCCGGGAGGCCGAGCCCGCCGCGGCCCCAGCCATGACGGGTCGCGTGTGCCGCGCCTGCGGCGGCACCGACATAGAGCTGGACGCGGCGCGTGGCGATGCGGTGTGTACGGCTTGCGGCTCGGTGCTGGAGGACAACATCATCGTGTCCGAGGTGCAGTTCGTGGAGAACAGCGGCGGCGGCTCGTCCGCCGTGGGCCAGTTCGTGTCGCTGGACGGTAGGGCGGCGCGTCCCTGCTGCCTTCCCCTCTGGTCGCGCTTGGTCTCCCGGCCCCGCCCGCCCGCCCCGCCCGGCCCCGCGGTTCTCTCGGGTCGCCCCGGCTGCCCCTGCAGGCCCTGGGGCTCCGTGGGGTAGCCCGAGCTACCTGCCCCGCCCGGCCCCGCGGTTCTCTCCGCGCGCCCCGGCCCCGCGGGCTGGGCTGGAGGCCGCCTCGGCGAGCGCGCCCGTGTGCGGCCCCCTGGCGCGCCGCCTTCGCCGCGTTCCTGTTGCGTGCTGAGGGTATTTTACGCGTCTGACTTTCACAGCCTGCGCGGTGTGTGAGTTTCACAGAGCAGAAGTTACTCATTTTGGTGCAACGCCGTTTTATTCATTCTTTTCTTTCCGGGTCATGTTTTTGTTGTTATACGTAAGACTTCTTAATCAAACCCTCAGTTGCCGCGTCTGCCTTCTAAAAGTTGTGGGGTTATTTATTGATTTATTTATTTTACATTTATGTTTCTTTGGTTGTTGCGTGCTGGGGCCTGGGGCATACCGAGAGCATGCTCTGTTAGTGAAGTTTATCCTCAGCCCCTCCTGTTGTTATGCCCCATGTTAAGTGTGTGTAGCTGAGGTTTGTCCTTGCATGTTCATTTGTTGGAAACCTGTCTTTATTTGCCCTTGCTCTTTTGGCAAAGTAACTGGGGGTGAGTCTCTCTCTCTCTCTCTCTCTCTCTCTCTCTCTCTCTCTCTCTCTCTCTTGCAGTACTGGGGATTGAACTTGGGACTTTTCACTTGCAAGTGCTTATTCTACTGAACTTTCTCCCTGGCCCCCTTAATAGTTTTTTTGAGTCTTTTTCTTTCTTTCCTTTTGAGTCTCTTTCTTTCTTTTTTTCTGAACCGGGGAATTGAACTCAGGCCCTTGCGCTTGCCAGAGAAGCGCTTATTCCACTGAGCCATCTCCCCAGCCCCTTGAGTCTCTCTCTCTTTCTTTCTTTCTTTCTTTCTTTCTTTCTTTCTTTCTTTCTTTCTTTTTCTTTTGAGTTTCTTTCTTTCTTCTTTTTTTTGAGTCTTTTTCTTTGACCCTCTGTTCTGTGCCATTTATCTGGTCACTACTGCACTGTCTTGCTTATTGTTAAGTTTTATATTGTCTTGACATCAGATATTGTGAGTCCTCCAATTTGGTTGGTCCTATTCAAAACTGTAGCTTTTGTATTCACTTTCCCTTTCCTTTTTTTTTTTTTTTTTCTCTGAATGCCTTCAGGGCAGGTTTGGCTGGCTGGAGTTGTGGGATTCGAACTTCAGCCACCTGAGGATGACAGCTTTGTGGAAGCAGCCACTTAAAGAACTGAGCTAGGGCCAGGCCCCCTTTCCCTTTTCTTTTGATTTTAGGGTATTTGTATATATGTACAAAGCTTCCCTTTTAATAAAATTGCATAAGATCTCTTGAAAAGTTGAGCAGGAAGATCACCTTGAGTTTGAGGCTACCCTGAGGTACAGAATGAGTTCAAGATAGCCTGGATTGGCTGGGGAAATAGCTTGGTAGTCTAAGCACCTGCTTGACCAGCACAAGGAATCAGGTTTGATCCCTAGTACTGCATGCTGTGCCAGCCACCGAAACTGGGCATGATGGCACATGCCTGTAAAGCCAGTAGTGGGGAGGCTGAGATAGGAGGATCACTATGAATCTGAGCTGCATAGCATAGTGAGACCCTATACCAAATAAATAAATAAATAAATAAATAAATAAAGGATTAAAAAAATTAAGAAAAAAAACACAGCCAGGATTACGAGAGACTCTCCAAACACACACATCTTTTTTATTTTTTATACTTGGTACTAGGAATCAAACTCAGGACCTTGTGCTTGCCAGGTAGGCACTGTGCTGCTGAGCTATATACCTAACCCTCATCTTTTAAAATGTTATTTATTTAGTATTTTAGGGAAGGGCCTACAGGGTGTTCAGGGTCTCAGTATTAGATCTGGCTCCTAGTGATCCTCCTGTTTACAGCCTCCCAAAAGCTGGGATTATGGTGTGTACCACCACACCCAGTCTCAATCGTCCCCCTGGGGCTGGCTTACTGGCCCAGGAATAGAATCCCTGACCCCTGTGCCTCCTTCTAGGCCCTTTAATCCACTGAGCTATTTGTCCAGCCTGTCTTTTTTTTTTTTTTTTTTTTTTCAGAACCAGAGATTGAACTCAGGCTCTTGTGCTTGCCAGGCAAGCATTTATTCCACTGAGCTATCTCCCCAGCCCCACCTTCATCTTTTAAAATTTAGAGTGATTTAACAATTTCATTATGCTGAGTCTTCCAGTCTGTGAAAACAGTAATATTCCATTCATATAGGTTTTCTTCAAAATATCCATCAGTGTAATGTTTTGTAGCTCCCGTATACTTTTTATAGGTAAACCTACAATCTGTTGGGTTCTTTTTTTCTTTCCCATGTGGTTGATTTCTGTGTGCTGGGTGATTTCTTTCTTTTTTTGAGATGATCTCGTTTACTATGCATTTCAGGCTATCCCTGAGCTCAGTTTGTAGCCCAGGCTGGTCTCAAACTTGCAACGATCCTCCTGCCTCAGCCTCCTGAGTGCAGGGATTACAGGTGTGCACTGCTCTGTCCTGCACTAATAGCTGGGTGGTTGTTTCTGTGCTCTTGTTGAACTTGTTTATTATAGACCCCTTGGAATGTCGGGTGTAGACAACCCCAAGTACAGACTGCTTTATCTTTGTTTTGTTTCTCTTTTTTGCCTTACAAGAGACATTTTCCCTTGTTTCCCAACTTGCAGCATTCAGCCTCTTCCACTCCATAGAATGTTCACTGTGGATTTCTGAGACCTGTACTCTATCAGTAAAGTTGAGAGCTTCCCCTTCTCCTAATTGGCGGAGTTTTTACCATAAGTGGACACTGAATTTTGTCAGACGCTTTTTCTGCATCAACTGATGGGATCAGACGCTTCTTTTCTGCAGTCACTAGCATGGCTAATTTTCTTTATGCTGTTTTTTTTCTTTCTGTAGTGCTGAGGCTTGAACTCTGTGCCTTGTGCATGCTTCAAGTTTTCTACCATTGAGCCACATACGCAGCAGCCCTAGTGCTGTTGGTGTTTGAAAGCTGAATGTGTTGCAAGTTTCTGGTTGTGCGGTGTTAGTCTTTGTATGTGTTACTACTATAGATTAAGTTCGTTAATACTATTTAATAATTTTTTTCTATGTTCATGCAAGATATTGGTCTGTAGTTTTCTTAAACATTTTTGTTTGCTTTGATGTCAGGGATGAGCCATATGGAATGAGTGAGGAAATGGTCCTTACTCTTCTATTTTCTAGAAGGGATTTTACCAAATTGGTATTACTTCTTAAATGTTGGGAATTCATATCATAGTTAAGTGTGACTATCCAGAGAGTTTATTTTTAACTTCTTTTTGTCTTTTTGGTACCGGGAATAAACTCATAACCTCACACTTGCCAGGCAGGCGCTATGCTTGGCTTTAAACTTCTTTAACAGTTGTATTCTACATTGTTTTGCTGTAGTTTGGTTTTGGTAGTTGGCATTGAGGAATTGATCCATTTGGCCTGGTTGTTGGATTTATGTTGAATTTATAGAGTTCCTGTGTCCTTCCATGCATGCAGGATCTGAAATGACAACTCTTTCTGATGTTGTTGTCTGGCTTTTTTCTTTCTCTTTGTATCTCTTGCTACAAGTTTATCAGCTTTGTTGATTTTTTTTCAAAGGACTGGCATTGGGTTTGAGTTTTCCCTCTTGCTCTTCCCTCACTTTGGTCTATTTTTTTTTTTTTAAGTTTTGTTTATTTGTTTATTTATTTATTTTTAGGCATTTAGTACAGGGTCTATAGGGTCTCACTACACAGATCAGACTTGTAGTGATCCTTCCTGTTTTTCAGCCTCCCAAGCGCTGGGATTACAGGCATGTGTCACCACACTCAGTCTTATTCACTGTCTCAGCACAGGTCAGCGTGGCAGGCTGGGGATCAAACCCCTGGCCCCTGCATCTGCCTAAGCAGGCACTTTAATCTGCTGAGCTATCTGGTTGGCCCTCCCTTTGGTCTATTTAACACACTGTACTAGTCCTTTCTCTTTGTGACTCTCATCAGGACTGCTGGGACCATGGGTTGGAGGCACATTGTTTTCAGCCTCATCAAAATTGCCAAGACATTGAAATGATAAGGGCTGTACTAAAAACAGGTCAGATAGACCTCTCTGTGTGGAGGCACTGTGTTAGATGTGTCCCGGGGCCTGGTGACAGCGTTGCTTGCTTTCACCATGTTCCCAGGACGTAAAGGGAGGTGGTGTGCAGCAGGTGTAGGCGGGCTGCTACCCTCACACAGTGGTTAATCTCTGGAGGGTTGTTGAGCAGAAGCTCAGACAGGCTCTAAGGTGGCGCCAAGGTACCTCTCTAGGGAGAGGCAGCCCAGCAGTAGTCTTGGCCCTAAGGTGTTTTGGGGCTGTGGGTTCTTAGCTTTAGGGCATGGAGGTGGTACACGTGCGTAGGTGGGAGGTATCATGTTTCCCAGGCACTCTTTCCCCATCAATATGTTTAAGTTGATGGCTTAGTTTCTGAGGAGGTCCCCAGTGCCTCTTGGTCAACTTACCATCCTCCAACTTCACCCTGAAAATGGAGTATTCTCACGGAGTAGCCATTTTCTAGTTTGTTTACAAACTGAAATGTGTTCTTTGGGTCACTTGCTTTTCCCAGGTGTTCTTGTTTAGGGAGAACTGGTCTGGACACTTAGCTTAGCAATGTGCTTTGGCATAATTAGCTCTGACATCAGGATAGGGTAACCAGGGGCCCACAGCAGAGGTCCTGTGGCTGTGGAACCACCACATGTGCTCTGGTGTCTAGGCCCTTTCAGAGCAGAGCCTGTGTGGAGGGGAGTAGTGAGCAGTAGCGGACTGCAGGTTCAGAATGGCCAAATGCGAGGAAGTGGAGGCCTTAGCGAGGCATGAGGAAGGCCAAGCCGCTCCACAGCGTCTGGACCCACCTAGTTTGTGAGGATTGTGGGGGGCT